GGGCGGCTGCGGGCCGGGGCTCTCGCCGGCCTCGCGTGTGGTCACTGAGTCTGGGACCCGCTCGGCGCCTTGCATCCCGCCTGGTCTGCGAAAGACCGAGGGAAACAAGTTTGTTAAGTAGCGCTGGGGTATTTGAGTGTTTGCAGTGATTTAACTCGACTTGAAAGCAATTTGTTTCTAAATCCTCTTATTATTGCAGTGTGCCCAGAGGTTTGAGGGAGGACTTTTTAAAAGAAGAAATGGAAGAAAAAAATTAAAATTGTCAATAAAGAGTCTTTCCAAATGCCAGGTTGGGCCAGGCTGAGCTAGAAGGTTCTGGGCTCCGTTCCAGTAGGAGGAGCTGGCGCTAAAGACCTTCTGGGCACTCACTGCCTTCTTCTGGGTGCCTGGAGCAGAGCAGCGAGCTAAGGGGTGGGAGGGGAGGCTTGGGAGCCAGGCCACCCACACTGGGCCAGTTTTTGTGCATGCACAGGAAGGAATATTGACTGGAGTTTCTGCATGAGATTTGTATGAGGGGCTGCACCCCTGCAAGCCGGCAGAGAGCACCCCTGTCTGGGGGCTGAGGATGAGAGACATTCCATTATGCTCCTCTGTCCCTCTGCTCAAAGAGAAGCGTCCTTTTCCATTTTGTTTAACCTGCTTGATCTTGGTTTACCATTTCAGTGTCTTTCTAGTTATCCAAGAGGGCTAGCTAGCATTTTGTTAAACTCTAAACAGGGAATTAAAAGCACTGAGGAGCTGAAGCAGCCTTCTAATGCAAAATGACAAATTGCACTTAAGCAATACATGAACAAGAAAATGATTTATGGATTTCTACAATGGTCTGAGCAAATGAAAGCAACATGAATTATACATCCTAATGCTCACGATATCATTTTCTAATAATACTGTTTCGGTCCAGATGCTTTACTCTCATCCCTTCCCTAAGACATATTGATCCATAAAAGGGCCAGGAATATTTTTAAGTCAGGCATCGGTGCTGGATGCTGGGTCCAGATACGTGTTTTTCTGAGTTGAGGAATATTGAACTTACAACCGGGTCAGCCTTCACACCCTGCGGTCTGCAGTGACACATGTACTCACTCCTTCAGAAACTTCATGTTGCTTCATATTTTCCTTCAGGATGCAAATAAATCCATCACTTCTGGAATGACCATCTTAATTACATCATGACCTCTGTGTCTGAAAATCAGCATGCATTATCTCATCTTCCTCTTTGCTTCCATCGCTTTGAATACATAGTGAAAACCCTGTTTTCTCCAAAATGTCTCATGCTCTTCAAGTCTGTTAATCCTACTTTTTAGAACATTGTTTAATTGTTGAGTGTGTTACAGACACACCTGAGTTAGTAAAGAGGTCAGGTACCTTCGTTGTTTTAGCCTCAGTAGACAGAACAGATCCTGATTGTCTGAAATTACATTTGTAAAAAGCCATATGAAATTGAATATGGCCCATGGAGTTGTGGGGTTGGATGTTTTTCATTCGAATTACCTTTGTGTGATGATGAACGCTCATTGTGTTTTCCTTAGCCACTTATGTCTTGTATATACGTTATTTCAGGGCATATGGAAGCTTAAGTGAAGACAGTGTCTTCAAAGTAACAGGTACCCAACCATATGGAAACTTCTAATTACTCTGAGGCCTCTGGAGCCAAATTATTAAGCTTAATCTTCATTATCCGGGTTTATTAAAAAAAAAAATGAATCCCAGCTTCTGTGTTTGACAGCATTAATAATCTCTCTTACTGAAAGATTACTGAAATCAATGATGTGATTAGGATTGTAAATAAGAACTCCAAGACATCCCATTTAAGGAGCCAGCTGCTGTGTAGGGAGGGATGGTGTGTGGGTTTCACTCTTGGAGCCCAGAGGTAGGAATGAAACTTTCATCACTAGAGTCGGTATTGAACAATTTCAAATATTAATTGCAAGCTCTGATTAAATTGATATGGGGAAGAGAAAAGGGTTCTAGAATTCTTGTTTTTTGCCCCCATGGGGTGGCTTCTTTTTTGACAGTGAGCTAATCCATGCAGCATAAACTGGTCCTTGTCTGGCAAGTAAAATGTTTTTGTAAGGGGAAGCCCCTTGACTTTATCAACGCAGAATGTGGTTTCCCAAATTGTGATTAGGGTTATAAGTCACAGAGTTATTTTCTAAAGAGTTTGAGAATTTTATTGGAGAAAAACACCATGAAAGGAATATCAAACACAGCTTGAGAGTTCCATTAGTAATTACAATTACATTAGAATTACAGCAGTAAATCAGGACAAATAGTAAAATATATGCTTCAATATGAAAAAAAAAAAAAACCCTCACAGTTTGACAGCCTAGTAGTATCACTCTATAGGAAACTTGATTTGCATGCCATCTTGTTTAAATAGAATTGGCAGTGCTACATCTAAAGTGTCTTATTTATTACAATGGCTTATCTTGTTCATTTTGGTGAGACTAGAGGGCTTTTTTTAAAAGATTTATTTGTACACACAGAACTGGGGTAAAAGCCAGAGG